CAAAAAAAAAAAAAAAAAAAAAAAAAGTTCCGGTTTTGTTCCTGTGAGATTTTACTTCGTGAGAATCACTGCTTCATGCCAAGGAGAAAAAAACAATACAATTGCCATAAAACACTGACTGGCCAGCTGGGCTCACTTACTAGTGAGGAGCACAGTAGCTGTGCACAGGCACTTAAGTCAAAACGGCAGGCCATAAGCCCTAGAGTCAAACTCTCAAACTCTCTTACCAGTGCCTGCCAAGGACTTTCAGACCTCTAAGTGGAGAATAAGCCTGGCATGTAAAAAAGGACTCAAGTCAGCTGGCTTCCACTGGCAAGACTTCCTTAAAGAGGTTACCATGAACCACATCTTACAGAGGACAGGAATGTGGACTGTCAAAGAGGAGGAGTGGAAAGACTCTCACAAGACGAACAGCGTAGGGGAGACTGAGGGTGGAGTGAGTTGCAGGGACCGACTCTGTTATGCATATAGGTGCACAGAGGGAATAAGACAATGTCTAGATGAGACTTCAAGATTAGAATGTGCCTTGGAAACAGAACACCAGAAATGATCCACGTGTTTCAGAAACAAGTCTATTACTACAAACTTCAAAAAGACCCGTGAAAATTTAAAGTTTAAAATTCAAACTAAACTCTAATTAAACTCTGGAAAGACAAAATATGACGCTTCTAGAACTTACCAACTTTATAATGTACACATCCTTCCAAATCCCCTACGGTTGTCCATCCCTGCTTCTTCTCAACTTCTGGATCATTGTGAAGTATTTTATTTCTTAACCAGGACAAATAGTAGACACGTAACTTATCCTTTTTGCCTAGCAAAACAAATATAAATATTTTACATGCATATTCAAAAGTAGGTCTCATCATTAATAACAATAGTAACCCAAAGAAACTTCTACAAAGAGTAAATATCATTTCCTCCAAGAAAACCCCTTTGTATCAAAGTTTTACTAGAAACTCAATTCAAGTTGCTCAGATGGACTTTTGAAATCCCTACAGAATTATCACTGGGTACAGGCCTGGGCTAGAGGGAAAGTTTTTAAAAAACAATAAATTCACACTTATGTAGATGGGTAGTATCAATAAACTACAAAGTAATACAAATATCTGCATAATACAACCAAAAAAGCTTATAAGATGCTTTCACATGTACTATGCCATCTGATTCTCAAAACCCTCTAGAGTAGCTACTATCTCCCATTTGACAGATGAGCACAAGGGTTAAATCAATCACTTAATGCCAGCACTTAAACCTAGGGAAAGGCAAGTCACAAGCTGGAGATGTGTACCACAGAAACAGCTGACAAGGGAGTCATATCCAGAATATGTAAAGAACTCCTACAAATCAAATAGAACAGGAGATAACCCAATAGAAAAACTGGACGTGCCACTGTAACCGGAACTTCGCAAAAGAAGTGATCTCAGAGACACACAAAAAGATGCTCGTTCTCAACAGTAATAACGTGTGTTAAAACAATAATGAGATGATTTCATACACCTATTGGAATGTCTAAAATTTAAAAGACTGACAATATCAAAGGTAGGCAAGGTGTGGAACAACTAGAAACTTCAGAAACTAGTGTGTAAACTGTTAGAACTGCTTTTGTAAGTTTGGCATTATCTATTAAAATAGGACATGTGCATGTCTTACATATGATCTGGTAATCTCTCTCCTAATGTAAGTGTATGTGTATGCCCCCAAGTACACCAACAGGAATGTTCATAGCACCATGGTTCCTAATAGCGCCAAACAGGAAACATTAATGTCTGAATGAATAGTAAAATGAGTAAATACATTGTGGTGTAGTCATCTAAAGGAACAAAGAGAAACTACAGCTACAAGCAACAACAACAAAAACGATGGTGGGCGAAGCCAGCCACACACTCACATCAACAAGTTAAGAAGAAAAATCACATGATCATATCAACAGATGCAGAAAAACATTTGACAAAACCCAACACCTACTCATAATAAAAACTTTCAGGAAAATAGGAATAGAGGGGGAACTGCCTCAATTTGATAAGAAACATCTACCATAAAACCCTACTGCTAATGTCATACGTAACGGCAAGAAACTAGATGCTTTCCTTGTAAGATAGACAACAAGGGAAAGATTTCCCTTCTCATAACTCCTAGTAAATGTTATATTGGGTGTCCTAGCTAATGCAATTAGAAAAAAAAGGGAAATAAAAGGTACAAGGACTGGGAAGGAAGAAATAAAACTGTCTTTCTTCACAGAAGACATGATTGTCTACATAGAAAATCCTGAAGAACCAATAAAAAAAAAAAATCCAAAACCAACCAACCAACCAAAAACCCTGCTGGAACTAACAAGCGATTATAGCAAGAATTATAGCAAGCTTGCAGGATACAAGCCTAATAAAATAAAAAGGTCGGTCACTTTCCTGTATTTCCTGTTTACCAGCAACAAACCATTAGAATTTAAAATTAAGACTACAACACCATTTATACTAGTACTTAAAAAAACAAAATGGCTACAATAAATCTAATAAAATTAGTCCTTTGCTAGTTTTATTTAAGGAAAACTGCAAATTCTGATGAAATCAAAGAAGAACTAAATAAATGGAGAGAGATTTCCATCTTAATGGATAGAAGATTCAATATTGTCAAGACATCAGTTCTTCCTAACTTGATCCATAGAGTCAATGCAATTCTAATCAAAATCCCAAGTTATTATGTATGTATCAATAAGCTGACTCTAGAGGCAGACTGACAGTACCTGACTTCAAGATTTACTATAAATCTACAGTAATCAACACAGTGTGGTTATTAGCACCAAAAGAGACAAATACATAAATGGAAAAAAAAAAAAAGAGCCCAGAAATAGAACTGTATGTCGGGCGCAGTGGCTCATGCCTGTAATCCCAGTACTTTGTGGGGCAGAGGTAGGTGGATCACAAGGTCAGGAATTCGAGACCAGCCTGACCAACATGGTGAAACCCCGTCTCTACTAAAAATACAAAAATTAGCCAGGCATGGTGGCACGTGCCTGTAATCCCAGCTACTCGGGAGGCTGAGGCAGGAGAATCACTTGAACCTGGGAGGCGGAGGTTATGGTGAGTCGTGATCTCACCAATGCACTCCAGCCTGGATGACAGATCAAGACTCCGTCTCAGAAAAAAAAAACAAGAAACAGAACTATACAAATATAGTAGTAATCTTTGACAAAGGAGCACAAGCAATTCAATGGAGAAAGGCTGGTCTTTTTAACGAATGCTGCTGCAACAACTAGATACCCACATGCAGATGAAAACACCACTACACAAACTTTGAAACTTTCACAAAAATCACTTCAAAATGGATCATGGACCTAAATGTGAAACACAAAGCTATAAAGCAGATTCTAGAAGGTAACAGAAGAAAATCCAAGGGACTCTGGATTTGGCAATGACTTTTTAGACACAATACCAGAAGCACAGTTCATGAAAGAAAAAGCTAGTAAGTTGGACTTCACTAAAATTAAAAACTTCACTTCTGTAAAAGACATCATTCCACAGCATGAACAAGCAAGCCACAAACGGGCAGAAAGCATCTGCAAAACACATACCTGACAAGAGACTTAAATCCAAAATACAACTCAACAATAAGAGAGCAACAATCCAATTACAAAATGGATTAAAGATAGAAGAAATACCTCACCAGAAAATATACGTAGGAGATGTACCATATGTCATTAGGAAACTGCAAATTAAAGTGAGATATGCCTATTAATTCCTACACCCCTTTAGAATGGCTAAACTGCAAAATACTGAAAAAACGTTTAGAAAAAGTCTCCAAAAAAAAAAAAAAAGAAGAAGAAACAGCTGTCACTAGAACACATACTGTTTTATCATTGTATAAAATTAGTTCAATGGAGGCAAAATCGACCTAACGTGTTCAAAGTCTGGACAGTGCTTGCCTCTGGAGGCAGTCCCTGGGTGGCTTCACAGGGCAGTTTTGGGGTGCTGGCAATATTCCATGTCTTCAGCAGGGTGGGGCTATCTGGATGGATTCTGCGTGTGACAGCTCACTGAGCTGTATGCTTATCTGTACCCTCTGTGTATGTCATACTTCAGTATAATCCTTTTAACTTTTGGGGAATTGTTTGCAGGAAAATATTCAATACATGTTAAGAGAAGAAAAAGACCACATAGTTTTTACATATAATGTTTTGTTTCCATCTTGTGAGATATATTTACAGAAAAGAGGAGAGGGAAATACAAAATGTTAATAAGAGTTACCTCTGAGATTGGGGTGACATTTTGTTTTAGTCTTCCTAAGTTTTTTCTATTTTTGAAGCTTCCTACAATTGACATGTACTACATTTATGATTGTGAAAACCATTAAAAGCTAATAAGGAAGGAAAAAAAAAACAGAAAAGTAGAACAAAAAATGATTACTGGTATCAGCTGATTATAATGGTTAATTTTTTTTTTTTGAGACAGGATCTCACTCTGTCACCCAGGCTGGAGTGCAGTGGTGCTATCACAGCTTACTGCAGCCTCAACATCCCAGGCAAAAGCAATCCTCCTGCTCTGGCCTCTCAAATTGCTGGGATTACAGGCATAGGCCGCCGCACCTGGTCTCAGCTGATTACTGATCCCCATGAACTGTCTAGTTTCACTGGATCACTAAATGCAGATTTGTTTTCTCCAACTTAAATAACTACCAGCCATCAGCACTCTAGTTTTAAATGGCTGTTTCCTCATTTAAGTATAAACGGTGAAATTTTTGCATTTCAAGAAACTCCTTTACTTAACAACCAAAAGCATATATGAGAAATAAAATAACTACAAGCAAATATGTTACATAACAAGCTTGTACTAACAAGCAGATAATTAAATCAAAATCATTGGTGGTTTCATAAGTGATTATAATATCATAAGTGACTGTAAGTGGTGGTATACAAGACCCATTTAAAGTCTTATAATTTTGCATACCATTTGACCAAGCAATAACACTAATTATTAGGAAATTATGGTCTATGCAACATGGTATGTGCCTAAAGGTTAAGTAAGCTACCAGGATATCTGTGAAAAATGTTCACATGAGAGAAAAAAAAAGGGAATATACCTAAAGGGCAACAAGAGAAGATAAGTAAATACATTTTAATACATCTATGCAAGGAAACAGCCTGTGGTCATATAAAATGGAGGCCATGGAAGGATGTTCAATGGCATAGAGAAAGCAGACTATGTGTTTTGGACAATCAGGCCTGGATGGGATACACCCGAACTTCAGGACAGAGGTTGCCATGGACAGGTAGATGGGGGAGGAACAGGGATGCTGACCGTATGTACAACAGTGTACTGTGACAACTGTTCAAACCAGCGAGTTATAGTCAGTACGTGGGTGCCATTATTCCTATTATCCCCTGTATGTTTGAAATATTGTATAACCATTTTTATGCAGATTTTTCCCCTTAAGTGTATAGTAAGTGTGATGTATGCTTAAAAGACTGGAAGTTAAAAACTTACAAAAGTTAAAAGATATGATCTCTGGATGATTTTACTTTTTATTTCTCCTAGTTGTTTTCCTGTAGTAGTTTATATTATACAATTTACACTAAGAAAAATGCTCTTCTTAAAAAGAGATGTAATTGGCCTGGTGCGATGGCTCGCGCCTGTAATCCCAGCACTTTGGGAGGCCGAGGTGGGCAGATCACGAGGTCAGGAGATCGAGACCATCCTGGCTAACATGGTGAAACCCAGTGTCTACTAAAAATACAAAAAATTAGCTGGGCGTGGTGGCGGCGCCTGTAGTCCCAGCTACTTGGGAGGCTGAGGCAGGAGAATGGCGTGAACCCGGGAGGCGGAGCTTGCTGTGAGTGGAGATCGCGCCACTGCACTCCAGCCTGGGGGACAGAGCGAGACTCTGTCTCAAAATAAATAAATAAAAATAAAAATAAAAAAGAGACATAATTGTCTTAATTCACATAATAAAAACCATAATACTATACTTTTACAATAATGGCAAAGAATACTTCCTTTTGCATGTACAAAAATTAGCCAGGCGTGGTGGCGCTCGCCTGTAGTCCCAGCTACTCAGGAGGCTGAGGCAGGAGAAATGCTTGAACCCAAGGAGGTGGAGGTTGCAGTGAGCCGAGATCATGCCACTGCACTCCAGCCGGGCAACAGAGCGAGACTCTGTCTCAAAAAAAAACAAAAAAACAAAAAAAAAGTCTGGTGGAAAGGAGTGGCCAGAGACCTACATATTGGATAAGGCAAATGAAATCTAACAAGCAACTGGGCAGAGAGAGCAGTGAGAGATGCCAGTGAGAAAGCACACATTCGTATGCTTCTCAAGACTGCTTTTGGAGGAGCCACAGATCAAATGCGCGTGTGTGTGTTGCATCTGAATACATCTTCAGCTCACATGATTGTCAAGCCTCGATGCGGCTGTATCTTATTTAACCAGTACATCAGAGAATGAGCTAACTGAAGTTTAGTGTGTAAAGCTACAATACTGTTAAAATTGTTTAGTGTGCAAAGCTACGACATCATAAAACAACCTTGTAAAGCTACAAGATTGTTAACAATAGTGTTAAGATGGTGTCACATATTCTGCTTTACAATACAAATACTCACCAGATATTGTCACCAAGACATTCAAGCCCTCAAGTACGTCCATTTGTTGAAATCGTCTTCGGTTGATCAGAGGATAGACCTTCCCTTGGCCACTTCTGTCCAGCAGCATCAGGCCACTCTCTGTACCCACTAGCAAATTCACTCCTGTTTCAGGGACACAGAAAGGCCTCAATTTTATGCTATGCTTGGCAAATCCCCAGGTTGCACAGAAAGGATAACATCATCTATTTGGAAAAAAGTGCAGCTTCCTTAATTCACCCAGAAGAAGAAATCCTTAAAATAGTCAGAGGTCAAATAGTTAAAGTAACCAATCCTGTAACACATCACCATGTAGCAATGATGCTGACATATTTAAACATAAGTAAGGATAAGGGAAAGAAAAAGAAACCCTTATCCCATTAATTCCCTTAATAATCCATTAGTTTCTAATTCTTCCTCAGTTCCTCGAGAATGTTATATGCTGATTATTTCCTGTCTTTACAGATTCTATGTCTAATCAGCCACATCACACATTTGAACAAACCTTCACCTGATACCATGATCTCTTTGTGCTTCCTTATCTTTCATTGGCAAATCTCTGGAATGGGCCACATACAGCCCTCAAATCCTTAACAGCTTATGATTTGGCTTCCATCACTCACGTTTAAGCTTTTCTTAAAGATTACTTTCCACCATCATCAAGAAACAACTGCACTCAGTTCTCTTGTCCCTCCATTTCTTAGGACTATCAAAATATTGTGACCTCCCCATGTGACTCACCCTATTTCTCTAACCTTGTACTGTCACAGTCTCCACACTCTTCTGCTGTGATGTGACACTCCTTCCTTGTTTCCACACTTGCCCTCTGCTTCTTCAGTGGAGACATTTCCACTGGTGTCCATTTGGTGACACACACACACCTGTGTGTGAGCGTGCCTCAAAACCAGTGACTCCTAATTCCATGCTGCTAATTTGCCTCCTGCTTTCCACCCACTGCAGATCTCTACTGAAACTAGCCTCATAACTTTTGCCATTTCTATCAACAGCTCCCAAGCTGCTCCGCAAAACTAGCTAAAACTGGCCACTAGAGCCAGAGAAAACCTCTTCTCTGTGCCTACTTTCCCTTTCCTCTGCTCTCACAATTGTTCAGGCTTTGGCAGCCTTATAAGGGATGGATAGAGACCTTAATTAAGATTGTTAAAGGAGCTTCTCTCTACTTTCTCATGATGTACATCCAATCAATCCTAATCTTGCTAAAATACTCAAGTTATGACTACCTTCAAAAACTGCACATTCCACGTAGAAATTGTCCCAAAGGCCTTGGGCTGGCATCTAAGACTGATTACCGCTTGGCCAAAGCACTTCTCCCTCTTGATCATTCATGTATTTCCCCAAATGCTCTTGTTCCTTGATCTAGAACCTTCACTGTCAGAATCACCTTTGTAACATGTAGCACAGACGACCTTACATTCCTAGGGAATTGGATACATATATGTATGTGCTGATTTCCTCAGTCATCAACTCATCAAGACAAGGAATAAAGTATTTGTGTAGAGGGAGTGAGGGGGAAGAATATCACGGCACACACACGTATGCCCACACCCCATTTCCAGATAATTTGAAATAAATGATTGTGACGGCACTGACAGAACAACGCTCCTAGAGCTGTCTCTCAGTTCGTGCCTGGTCCCTATCGAGTTGACCGAGTTGGGATTATCTCAACATCTGGAGGAGAGTATCCACCCAAGCAATGCTTGTGGGGATACTGATTTAATGCTTAGAGATTAAAAAAAAAAATGCTGTACAACTTAAAGAAAAATATTTAAATATGTAATATGTGATTCATTTTCATATAATTTTATTTTTGAGGTTGGCCATTCTGCCCTGACTATATCCTTGGCAAGGTGGAACTTATTTGAATATTATGCTTAGTGTTTTCCCTGCATATATCTAGGCAAATTGATCTAAAACAGCTCAGAAATTATTGGCAGAAAAGACACACACTTATTGACAGAACTGCTGCCAGACAGATACCATTTCAAAGGTTCTATTTTACACAATATTTTGTTATTTTCCTGGTCAATCTTCAGTATCAAGTAGATTTTTTTAAACTCCTATGTCAAGAATCTGGTAATAACTACACAAAATATGAGCCTTGTGACAAAATATTATTTGCATTTCTAAAAATGAACATATAAACATCAACCTCAAGATTTTACAGTGAGAAGGAATGAGGGAGTAACAAGATAAGCTGAAGACTCTTCAAAACACAAAAGCTGAAGGTATTGTGGCACTTACACTCTATCTTCTACTTCTCCATGATATATTTCCAAATTGTATAATTGTACAGTTGTATAATTTTATAAAGTACTGAATGCTAATAGTCAAAAGAATATAGTCACTGTGAAGTCCTTGGAAATTACGAGCATGAAAAATGAAAAATACTGGGTTGCATGTTGCAGTAAGTTTTTATAAATATACTTCTCCAACATTTCCACTGCTAGATATGATTGAATTTTATAGTGAAAACAGTCAACCTCAGGGTTCAGGGGTACAATGTACACTATTGAGTATAATGTGCACTATTTGGGTTGATGGTTACACTAAAAACCCAGACTTCACCACTATACAATATATCCATGTATCAAAACTACTACTAAAAATTTGTTCAATAAAAATAAAATGGAGATTAATCATTCCAATATTTGACAGTTAAAATGAGTCAAGCATATACATGTGCCACACCAGTCTGCTAATATACCACTCTGCATATGACAGGAGATGGGCATCACAGAAGTCTTCCATCCTGTCTATCCACAAACTATTCAAAGCAGTACTTCTCTAAAAGACCAGCCACTGCTCAGAATAAAAATGAAAGTGTCAGAGTAGTGGCTAGACACCTACCCCATAAGGCAGCACACAGAATTTCAGAGTTAAACCTCTTCTTGTATTTACGAATCTCTGGGGTATCACTCTGTGGCCTAGTGTTGGTAGGATTCACATTGACCACTGAGCCTTTCCGGGTAGGATCTTGCCTTATGGCTTCTGGTCTCATCCCATCACAGGAAAATCCCACTGAAACACAATACATTTGAAATTATTTTCTGTACACACACACACCATGCCTGCCTCCCTCCCCTAATACACTTCAAGTAAATATTCATGTGGTATAACCAACACTTTGTCAAAGAGAAGATATCTGTAAGCAATATATATGGAAAAAGGAAATGGACTCTGCAGAGCATTGCAAATAAGGCAATCCAACTGGGATGGGAAGTTTCTGTACCTGAGGTCTGTGCCTGTGAACAACCAGCTACACCTAAGCCACCCAAAAGAGCAACTCAAAGATAAAGTCCCATTTGTCAGCTGCTTTCTTGTTGCTACTGTACTTACCCACAGAAGTCACTGTTGTTCCACTAGATGGAGAAATCTGTAGTAATCTGGGGTCTATAAAAGGTGTAAAGGAGGAGGAAGATTTGTGTTTCTGGAGTGTGCTACTAGCGGACTGAGTCTGCAATGTAAATTTCAATGTTATTAATACAACTGGCATTTTAAAAATGAACATTAAAAATATACATTTCAATTCACTTCTGTGTTGCACTAACTATTTCCCAATACTTTGCTCTATTTCTCTTGCATCATTACCCCAAAAAATGCTCTGCAGGGAGCTTCCACATGGCATAGCAACCCTCAGGGCAGGCTGCTTTACTTGGAACCACTGCAGGAGCCATATCTCTACCAGAGACATTGCTCATTTACAAAGCGGTGCTGCAAGCTACCAATGAAATCTATATTTCGTGTGCCTAGCTTTAAAACAAATTAAGTAAATACTTATAATGAAACTCCTAAAGGAGGTCTGAAATGTCTATCTCAATTCACCCATTTCTGAATTTATTCTCCTACCCAAAAGAGTCCAAATAACCTATGCTGGAATATTGGCAATTATTAATAATTCTAGTTATTTTAAATTGAGCCTCTTGCCAGAAAGCTACAGAAGCTCTGGCTACTGTTGTTTTAGGTGCATCACCATTAAACCCATACCAAATGGGGACTCATTAGTGAAAGTGCAAATGACAAAAGAAGGCACATCCTTTTGATCTTTTAGGAGCACTAGTGTTTTGGTTAATAATGTAACTTAAGACAAAAAAACACAAAGAAAGTGAAACAAATTGTTAAGTGGAAATGTAATGACAATTAAAAACAAAACAAACAGAAAAATAAATTTGCCGGTTTAGTGAGTTAAGGGTTATAGTAAAATACTGCACATTAGAGCGAAATGGAGCAAAGTTTAAAATATAAATATAAGGAGGAATGTAAGTGTAGGCGGGAAATAGATCTCAGGAGAAAAAAGGAACATGTCTGATCAAGTGCTTTTGTCCTGTACCATTGGACCCCTCCATGGACACCGAGAGTCGCCATGTCCTAGATCCCATGCCCTCCCCGAAGCTTCCCACCTGAACGTCTGTCCCCTGGCAGCTTCCCTCCCTGTCCCATGAGTCAGTGGCCAGTCCAGTCGATGCCAAGCCTGTCTAGGAAGCAGTTGACTTGCCCCTGCTCCTCAGGAGGAGAGGATTTTTCTGATTCTTTCTAACCTCCCTCAACTGGTAGATAAAGGCACTGAAACCAAATCTTCTGTGGAATCAAATCACTTGTTTAATTCAGTACGGGTGCTCGAGTGGGCTACGTCACTACACCTGGAGTATAACCCTGTTCAAAGAGCAAAGAATCACCCAGACTGAGCTAACACCCAGACTGAGCACCACAACCAAGCCTTCAAAGGAGCACACAGATTTCCCACACAAAATTTTAAAATAAAAACAAGCTCAAACCTTTGCCCTTCTTGCTTAACATCCTAATTTTTTCTAGGTTTCCCAAAAATAATTCGGCTTCTAAACCACTGAGTGATTATAAATTTCAAAGAACGAAATCCTTAACAGAGTTGGTGAAAACAAGTAAGAGTAATCAACCAACAGCCACCCCCAAAACAAGGAAAAAAACAAAAACAAAAAACACCAGCTCTGTTTGAAAGAGACTCCTGGACAGGATAACAAGTTTGTCCAGGTAAGGCCAAGCCTGCTGAACCGAATCTTCCTATATTTTATTTATTGGATAAAAAGAATGAAAAAGGCAGATTCCACAAATGACTATAAGAATTTCATGCCAAATACATAATACGGATCTGAGGATACAGCATTTCATTTAGACTTTAAAAAAAAAAAAAAAAAAAACTAGATAAAGAAAGCCATGCAACTATACTTATCTAGAGAACAGTAAACAGTGAACTGGCAAGTTTTGGGGAGCTGATCTAGGGTTAAGGGGTTTATATGCAGATCTGAAACATGTTACTTGGGGTTGGGGAGAAGGGTAGGTGACAGAGAAAGCAGGGTGGGGTGGGAAGGGGTGAGGGTGTTGGAAAGGTCTCCTTTGCAAACTAATTCCTAGGCAGTGCTGGTCTAACCCCAGGAAAGCAGCCAGCTGTGGTGCGAGACATACCTCATTAGCAGTGAGCTTGTCCTGGGGTGTCTGTGGGGACATGGTGGGTGTCGGCTGGCTGGAGGATGGGGAGGAGGAGGTGGAGGAAGTGGAGGAGGAATGGCTTTGCTGTAAGAGATCTGGCAAGAGGTGAATGCGACCGGCAAAGCCATTGCTCTCATGATGGCTGGCACGCTTTTGGTCAACTGTACTCTGTAGAAAAAACAGGCACACTTGTCTCGCTCAAGCGCAGCTAAAATTGCCTATGGCCCTATTGATAACTGCTTTGTTTAAGGTGCTGTGTGACTTATAAATTCTGCTAAATTACCAAGGAAAAACCAAAGAAATTAGCCTGAACTGCTCACACTTCCTCACCAAATGCCTAACTTGAGCCAACAGAATTCAAAGTACCTCATCTGGTGGCTGCACGACTCGAGCAGTGAGTGTTTAATCTGGTTTATCTGTTGCGCTAGCTTCTGTTACCAAAACCAGTATCCTTTTTTTTTTTTCTTTTTAAATCTTTCTTTCTAAAGCTCCAGAAAGTACCTGTGGATTCTCTGAATCCTGGTCTTTTCCATGTTCTTCCTACTTTCCATCCGAATGCATTGCCATAGCATGAAACACAATTAGGGCAAAGTCCAAAATACTAAATAGGTGCCCTGTTCTATTTAAATGAGAAGCGCATCACTTTAATTAAGTCTAAGCTAAGAAACGAACAGACAGTTAAAAAGCTTAGTGATCCAAACTGAGCATATCTGGGTGGCACACATTTAATTATTCAACAAGTGAGAAAACTAACATTTTGGAACATAGAAGAGAAACCTCCCGAACCCTTCTGCTCTCCGAGTCTCTGGGCCTGTGATGGGGCTCGTCCTGCCTGCCTCACCCGCTCCCGCTGTGGCACTGCAGACACTCAGAGCCAAGCGTGCTCTGCAGAGCCAAGGTGGTTTACTCTGCCAGACTCCAGACCTGCTTCCTCACTCTGCGAGCCTGTTTAAGGACTCCCTGTGGCTTCTCTCCCCCTCAGACATAGACTGTGAGACTCAGCGCGGTGCTTGAATGAGGGCTGCCGCAGACATGCAGAGGAGCAGCGATGTGGGGTGGAGACTACTCGCTACCTTCCGGGCATGCAGTACACACCTGCCTCCCTAGCCCCCGACACTTGACACTTGACCCTCTGGGACTTGTTAACATGAAAACAGATGATGATGGAGAAACAGCATGAGTGAGTGAATGAGCAAGTGGGTTAATGACCACAGGAGAAGCTCAGCCTCTGACGACAGAGAAGACACGGGTACCTGGCGGACGATTAGAGTGCCCTCCTTGGATGGGGTCATGGCCGGCTCACTTTCTACATCATCATGGACAATCATGGTTTTCACAGATTCCGTTTCACCATTGCTCAAATTCAGAGATGACCTATAGGGACAAAATCCAGAAGTGAAAGGCCTTAATCTCTGGAGTCAAGGAGATCCTGTTTATGCTTTTTGCCTTCTCAAAATCAAAACAGGAGAGGAGGCTACCGGTATAAAGCCTCCTCCAAAAACGCAACTGCTTAGCTTTCTCCCTTTAACAAAGAACTTCCTTCCAGTGCCATTTGTTTCTGAGCAAAAACTTAGAATGAGTAATCACAGCTAATTAAAGTAGTTATATCAAACTGAAATTTCCCCTGGATCATATATCCTCCAATCCAAAGGAAAAAATAAAGTACACGCTGGGGTGCTGGGGGAAGCACTGACACATGCACACACCAACGAGGAGAAGGGGAAACACAAGGCGGCCTGCTGCTGAATCCATGAGAACTACGTAGCAAGTGCTCATGGGGTCACGCAATAGTCTAGGCACAACTGGGTCCCAGCGGAAAGCAGGCTCTGAGAGAAAACTCTCATCAGCTCTAAAAGAGGCCGGGGACTGACGCTGCTCTGGTGTCCTCCGGTCCCGAGGTGGACTCGTCGGCCCCTTCCTGCTCCACATCATCGTCCTCCTCATCTGTCGTCCCCGACTCCTCACTGGATGAGGAGTAGTCCGTCACTTTGTGAGGCGGCCGTACATCTTCCACCGCTCGAAGCTCTTTGGCCAGTGCGGTCAGATCCTAAAGCAAAGGACAGAAAAGAGAGAGTTAAGTAAGGCAACGGGAGGGCAGGGACAGGAGAAGATGAGAAGTTCTTTAACCATAAATTGCCACAATGTCAGTTTTGTAAGACTTTTGTAGAGTTTCATACGAAAGTGAGCTCCTACGGCTTTTGACAGAAAAGACCAAAGAAAGTCAAGAGAGAGATTAAAAAAAAAAAAAAAAAGACAGCAAAAAAAGTCAAAGATGTCATATACAGTTCAAATCCCATGCCGATAAAAAAACACAATGATCTGCTTATGATAAGCTCACAGTATTGTTGTTTTTTAATATGAGGTAAAATTCTAGATCAACAAATGTATATACACAGACCCTTGGGCTTTGTCGTAAGGACATCTCCCTATATGACAAAGTCTTCTTTAGACATAGCAACGCTCTAGTTAAACAGGCCTGATATAAAAGGTTTTGAGGGATACATTTTTATTTTACTTCAACTTTTATTATTAAAAACTTCAATGCTCTAAGGTTTAATATTTAATAAATGTTTATATTTACTATTTGTAGGATATTTATGACATTTTAATAAATATTAACATTTTACTAAGATCAACATTTTAGGTTTAATATTTTATTAATACAAGTTGTAGAAACGTAACTTCCCTCCCACAACTCTTTAAGTCAGGCCTATTTAACTAGAGGCTTGCTTTCTGGACTGCCCCCTTTAAAGAAGACTTTGTCATATAGGAATGTGTCTTCACACCAAAGCTCAAGGATCTGTGTATATATGTTTGATGATCTAGAATTTTACCTCATACTGAAAAACAAAAAAAACAAAAAACTTCAAACCCACATTACAATGAAAGAGGAGTGAAGTGAGCACTAGGATGCCATTTACATCTCACTTCACTGACTGTTCACGACCTGCCACATTCATGGACAAGTCCGAGACACATGAAGAGACAGTGGCAACCCTGAGTGTGGGGGCAGGAGGCTATGGGCGTCCCTATCGCCCTCCTTCAAGCCTTACCACATCCCCCTGTAACACCACCTATGAATAGGAATATCCGAAAGAAAAGAAACCAGTAGTGGAATTTGTTCCAAAGGCTTCGTTTCCCTTTACTCTTCCACACTGAGGTATTCTTAAGATTCAATCAATCCACCAAATAATAATTTTCAAGAGTGATTACTATTTATACTACACATTTTCATATAAAACTCCAAATTCATCTTTTTTTGGGAATTTTATTTAAAAGTAACCACTTTTTTAAAAGGCAGTCTATGTAATTCTTTTTGTCTTTTATTTCTAGCAGTTCCAACTTGGTTTTCTTTTTTTTTTTTTTCCACAGTTGAGAATGTTTCTTTTCTTTGAGCTTGAGCCTCTGAAATTACAGTGATTGGACTCTGAGTCTTGCTATTAGTATTTCGTGGTGATAGCTGCAGCTTTTTAAACAGTTACTCAAAAAAGCTACATTTAATAACAATAAATACAGCAAATGTTATGTTAAGAAAGCTGGAGTAAAGTTTAAGGTTTTCAAATTCCAGAAAAGAACAAGAAGTCAAGTTGAGGAAGGAGCAGGACCGCAGCTTGAATACAAGCTGAGCTGACAGGCGGTCGGAGTGCTGCTCTGAGGCAGAACTTTTCAGAGATGGCGCTTACCACTTCGCCCTTCGGTACAGCGCAGTTTCATGTAGTCCGAGAAGCCACCGTTGATGAGGAATGCACAGTACAAGGAAGCACGGGAGAAAGAAGGGGAGAGGAAGAAGTACAGAAATCAGTTCAAGCAGGAAATGAAAACTCTGACAGGCTTAAAATTCCGCGAAGTGTGCACAATTATGTGGTCAGGTAACATCAGAGGGATTAAAAGAGAAGGGTGAGAAGCAGTCACAACTATCACCCCAGGAATCAAAAAGCAGAAGGTAGGCAACCAGTGAGTTTAAGAAGGTGATTTTTAAAAACTTACTCTAAAAGCCAGTATTGTAAATGACAAACCAGAATAAATAAAGGTTAATGCCAAAAAAGAGATAAAAACCTTTTCTTTTGTATTTTTTTAAAAACATCAGTTTCCTTAGAAGGAAGTTTCGTTAAATAAAAACTATACTTTGTTCTGCATTATTTTGTAAGGCTGACTGTACACCAAGTGTATGGCTGGAACAATAGAACACAAAGTTTCACCCACTTGAGACTTTATGCAGGGAAAGCAGATGACACCAATGGAAGGGGACAAATATGTCTGGGGTCTAGGTCATTCCTTATAATTCCTCAAATCTGTGAGGGGCCCTCGCAGAAGAGACTGCAGGCCTCTCAACCACATATTTTTAATAGAAAGATCGCATTCAAGTCTGAAATAAGTAAAACTGATTTTGCACAATCCTTACAGCAGGCTTGAGGGGTCTGAAAACTTCTTTTTTATCTTCAGGTTTTTTCACTGCGTTTTCCAGGCGCTGAGATGGAGAGCCTTCAGACTTGGATGACGCTATTGGGTTTAAAAGGGACAAGATGGACGGACACATATCAACATATGGATGTGTATTACGAAGCTGCCCTGCCCACCCCGCCCACTCCTGTCTGCCCATTCATGGCAGGCTCTCCACATGCAGGTATGAACTACAGAGCAGAGAGGGCCCAAGGAGGGCTCCAGCAGCCTTCCTGACTCTTTTACTTAAACCCTCCATCATCACACTCACTTTGACACGTGTTCACAATGTATACCTTGTCACAGTATGTCAGTAATACAATAGAGGGAATATTCACTCATCTATTACGAGTACATTAAAATAACCAATACTGATGACGGTATAGGCTCTGCAGCCCAGACCGAAAGAAATGGGTTCAAATCCTAGCTCGCACATTAGCCCATTACTTTGGAAAAGTTAGTTAATCCCACTAAATTGTAAAGCACTCACAGTGCTAGGTATATATAAAGCTCTCAAAATTTAGCTCCTTTATGATTAAAATCAGGATGACTATTATTGTCACTGGCAACCTATGCTAAAACATTGTTTTGCGATGTGTGGCTGCACGCAAACCACAGATTAAGACGAACTTCCAATATATGGATCACAGCCCAAAACATGAGCAGGGAAAAGGCCAAGGAAAGGCAGCCTACATCTCACTCTGAAGCGTTCCCCGGAGCCACTCTGAGACCCAGGGTGAGACCCGGGCTGGGATCCTGAGTTGCTGGACCCTGAGGAGCTGCCACTGCCAGGTCTGGGCACCAGCTTCTCCACTCTCTCCCACAGAAGCCTGGGCTCAATACTGCTGTGAGAGAAGAAGAAAAAAGAACAGCTAATGCATCATCTCTAGATGCCGTACCATCGTGTGTCCATCCAATGTCTTTAAAATGTAGGGAGGAGAAAAACAGTCTACAAACAGCATTCAACATTAAATTCACCAAAAGATAAAATGACATTATTCATGGATTTTTATCTCACATATTTTTAGTTTGTATGCTAAATGGTATCCTACCATTAGATCTAAAATCATCAGGTGTGATATACTACTACTGTTCAGTGTAGAAGTAGCACCATTTCTGTCACAGCTACATGTCAGTTCTTAACATTAGGAAAACACTCCATATTTGTATAATTATATGCAAAACTATATTCTGTTTCTAGGCGGCTGCTCTCACCTGCCTGTTGCTGTTCTCAAAAACTGACACTTACAAAGAATAGTCCTTTGTATGGGCTGTTAGAAATGGTACAGAAAGCATGGACTGGGATGGATTTCCTGCCATGGATGAACCCAAAGCACACATGTGCTAGGTAAGGATTAATGACACAGACTTGGTCACAGAAGAACACCACAGTCCCCCTGCCACTAGCAGTGCTGAGGATTCTGTACAGCTTTTGGGCCATCATCCATCTGACACTTCAAGTCAGACCAAGGTACCATGCGCAGAAGGCTAACTTCAGAGGTTCAGTGATGATTAAGATATAAAACATTCAACATAATCAGCTTTTCTTCCCTATGATAGTGCTGGTCAATGAAGCTTTCTGTTATGATGAAAATGTTCTATATTTGAGCTGGATAATATCATAGCCACTAGCTACATGTGGCTATAGAGCTCATGAATATACCCAGTGCACTACGGAATGAAGTTCCCACTGTATTTCATTTTAACTAAATTTAAACTTTAATTTAAATTTAAGGAAACTTCTGTAGCTAATTGTACTGGACAGAGCAGCTCTAGAACCTAAAAAGGTATTATTTGGTTAATTCACTTGCTTATTGCAGACTGTCAGTCAACAAGTGACTTCTTCAGTAACCTGTTTGTGATTTCTGTTTTATGCCACAGGCCTTACAACGTCCCTTAGATGAAAAGCTCCCTCTGATCACAGTTCTCTTAGAACTTCTCTCCCTTCCTTGGTGCTCCCTCCATTTACTCATACAGAGAAAAGTAGTTTAAATTTCAGAGTTGCTATATTAATGCACATCCGGATTCAAACCCACTTTTTACTACACATCAACTTGATGCCATCCACGTTGATGGATTTTATGGCAGCTTTTCCTTTTATACCTAATAATCTCCTTGCCCCAGAACTTCTGTGTTTAAGAGCATTTTTATGAAACAGACAATGTAAGGCTGTGGTAGACTGCACAGGAGGCCTGTTCTCAGCGCTCGCTTGTCTTTTACCTGGTGGAGTTTCTCTGTCCTGCCTGGCTATTCTGCTGCCCACTGCCCTGCAGTGGGGAATCTCGACGGGACAGAACAGGGGAGCGAGATGTTGTTCTCACAGGAACCTTTAAGTAGAAAATACAGCAATTAAATTATTGAAAACGTGAGAAGGAAAAAAAAATATTTCCCAACCAAAATGTATTTTTAAAGCAGTCCTAATATTTAAAAGCAGTCCTTCCTATCACCTCCACTCCCCACCCCCACTCCTTCCCTGGTCCTACGCTGATACAATCGGAGAGAAAATTTAGTCACAGGCATCCAAGAAGCCAGTACAAACAGTCTTTCTATGCTCCTGTAACATTTAAATGATGTCTGGACTGAAGCTTGGTAGCAGGGACATACAAAGCGTTTGCTGAGATAACGTGAGAATCAGGAAATAAGCTCAAAGAAACCAAACAATGGGCTATAAATGGATTGGCAGGAAGCAAAGACTGGCAGGAAGCAAGAAAATATTCAGAGGAAGCAAATTCCAAATGAGGAAAAATAAATTGACATTGGCTCTTTTGTTTAATTTCACTAACATGTAAACACAAAAACAAAACAAAATCCCCTACATTTAAAAAGAAAATAAAATTTTTCTTATAAGACCTTTTCTAAAAGTTTTGACATTAATACTGCGAAACTGCATAGCTTCTGCATAAACATATAGAAAAACTGCTAAAATAGATTATGAATTTGTTTAAGAAGCCTATTCTTTGTAGACATACTCTTACATCATTTTGCTGCCTTATTTAGAGTTAACAACAATAAAACGCTAACTGGCCACTGGCTGAATAAAACTGTCTAACTGTGGAACTTTATCCTCACCATTAAAAAGTCCCTTTGAAATTTCAATGCCCCTTTAAATTTGGTAAAGTTGCATCCCCATAATTAAAATAAATAATCTTAAAAAAAAAATAACAAAAAGGAAAAAAGCAGCACACATCTGTCTTTCTGCTCCTTACCCTTGGAGGCACCTCGTCACTGTCTGATCTAGACCAAGCCTTTTGGGTAGGGTCGGGCGTCTCTGACTTAGAGTCAGAGCTCTGACTGAGCACCTCACTGCGGGAAGGTGGACATGGGTCCTGAGAACGAAGATGGTGGTGTGCAAATTTGGGAGGAGAAGGGTCACTGAAGGAATGGGATCGCGAGACAGGGGAAACATTGTTCTTGAGAGATGCCAGGTGGGACCACTGTACCTTACAAGAAAACAAAACACAAAACATTCAATGCGTTCTGCATAAAACTGGCTTTTCTGGTCAATACCAAATCCAAAGCAGGAACTGGCAGAGGCAGAATACACACCGGGGTGGTACAGTGTTAGGTCAGCCACGCAGTGAAACAGTTACACTTCAAAGTGAAGAAGTGGTCTGGGAACACAGTATGTAGAAAAGAACAAATGTACATTTACAAGGAAAACTCTTTGTAATATCCAGACAAACATTACAGATAGCAGTTAATGTGAAGACTTCTTCTTTTTTTTTTTTTTTTTAACAAAGAGGCTTTCAGAGCCCAAAGCGGGTACGATGGGTTGCATGCACATCCATGTCAAAGCAGAGACTGAAAGGGCAGAGACAGGCAGAAAAATCGTAAGATAAAGGGCACTGCCAAGTGTGCAAACCTACCTAGCCATCCTCACATTACCTGCAGTGTCAGACTTAACACCGGACTGAGTAACAAAATGGCACGTTCAATGAGCAAAGACAAACCCCTCATGTTTTGACAGACTGTATCTCAAGAACAGCTAATTTTTCAACTATACCAACAATTTTTCTTCTTCTTCCCAAGTCTACAAACACCCATAACCTAGATATCTCCATATACTGTCATATTAGTGATGAAAATAAAGAATTGTGATTTCTCTAAAAACATTTAGTACCATGGATTCCCTGAATTGACTACTGTTGGAGTATTCCTTCCACTTGGGAAATTACAAAAATATGACAATTACTTGTCAACTGAGTTTATCTGGTTGCTTCTAAATTGGGAAAATGATCTCTGAAAAAATCCATAAAATATTTTCATTAAATTATGTTTTACTGTTCCAAAATAATTGTTCAATATGGCAATTGAAAAAATGATGGCTATATATCCATTACATCAATGTACTTGACAAAAACTGAAAATACTAAATCAATTTGTTCAACCTTTCCAAATACAAGACGTGAAATTAGTTCTGGTGTATGATTTCTACAATATACAGGTGAGAGATTTATATAATACCAGATATTGGTATAATCCCAGACTTCTAAAATGTTTAAGATTTTCAGAGGTAAAACATGTAATTCAAAGTATTACCTGAAATTATAATCAAAAATGAGCTTTAAAATAGAGTCCTACATGAGAAAAGTTTCCCCCGAAGAATGAACAGGAGAAGGAAATGGGAGACTCTTTCTAGGTACTACACAAATTCATAACAAATGCAAAAATCAGTATAGATAATTCAGAAACTCCTATTTTCTAAACTATTAGTGGCCAAACAAAGATTCTCCATTTACAGCAAGTTTAATTTGCAGTGTGAAAACTTCTATCCGCCGATCTTCAAGCAGTGTAAAGTTGTTAAAGAACACGAGTCCTCAGACCTATTCTAGTAGTCTCTCTTCTCTTCCCTTTTTAATTGTGTCCATTTACCCTCTCCTGCTTTCCTCTTTCCTTTCTATCCCCTCCTCTCTGGAGCTGCCCATCTGTTAGCTCTCCTGGGACTCAAGAAACTGCTGGTCCCATGGAAATACTCACTCACCCTCACATACCCCTGGCCTCAGTCCTAGCTATTCTTTCTTTCTTTTTTAAGATGGAGTCTCACTCTGTCACCCAGGCTGGCATGCAGTGGCACTATCTCAGCTCAATGCAAGCTGCAACCTCCACCTTCTGGGTTCAAGCCATTCTCCTGCCTCAGCCTCCTGAGTAGCTGGGATTACAGGTGCCCGCCACCTCGCCCGGCTGATTTTTGTATTTTTAGTAAAGACAGGGTTTCGCCATGTTGGCCAAGCTGGTCTCAAACTCCTGACCTCAGGTGATCCGCCTGCCTTGGCCTCCCAAAGTGCTGGGATTTCAGGTGTGTGCCACTGTGCCCCAGCCTTTTTT